TGTGTGTCATCTCTGTGCAGTCTCTGTGTGTGGTCTCTATGTGTAGTCTCTGTGTGCGGTCTCTGTGTGTGGTCTCTGTGCGTGGTCTCTGTGTGTGGTCTCTGTGTGCCGTCTCTGTGTGCGGTCTCTGTGTGTGGTCTCTGTGTGCGGTCTCTGTGTGCGGTCTCTGTGTGTGGTCTCTGTGCAGTCTCTGTGTGCCATCTCTGTGTGTGGTCTCTGTGTAGTCTCTTTGTGTGGTCTCTGTGTATGGTCTCTGTGTGCGATCTCTATGTATGGTCTCTGTGTGCAATCTCTGTGTGCCGTCTCTGTGTGCGGTCTCTGTGTGCGGTCTCTGTGTATGGTCTCTGTGTGTGGTCTCTGTGTGTGGTCTCTGTGTGTGGTCTCTGTGTAGTCTCTGTGTGCCATCTCTGTGTGCGGTCTCTGTAGTATCTGTGGTGGTTCTGTGCGATCTGTGTGCGGTCTCTGTGTGCGTCTTGTGTGCGGTCTCTGTGTGTGGTCTCTGTGTGCCGTCTCTGTGTGCGGTCTCTTTGTGTGGTCTCTGTGTGTTGTCTCTGTGTGCGGTCTCTGTGTGTGGTCTCTGTGTGCGGTCTCTGTGTGCCGTCTCTGTGTGCGGTCTCTGTGTGCGGTCTCTGTGTATGGTCTCTGTGTGTGGTCTCTGTGTGTGGTCTCTGTGTAGTCTCTGTGTGCCATCTCTGTGTGCGGTCTCTGTGTAGTCTCTGTGTGTGGTCTCTGTGTGCGATCTCTGTGTGCGGTCTCTGTGTGCGGTCTCTGTGTGTGGTCTCTGTGTGCCGTCTCTGTGTGCGGTCTCTTTGTGTGGTCTCTGTGTGTTGTCTCTGTGTGCGGTCTCTGTGTGTGGTCTCTGTGTGTGGTCTCTGTGTGTGGTCTCTGTGTGCGGCCTCTGTGTGTGGTCTCTGTGCAGTCTCTGTGTGTGGTCTCTATGTGTAGTCTCTGTGTGCCATCTCTGTGTGTGGTCTCTGTGTAGTCTCTGTGTGCGGTCTCTGTGTATGGTCTCTGTGTGCGATCTCTGTGTGTGGTCTCTGTGTGTGGTCTCTGTGTGTGGTCTCTGTGTGTGGTCTTTGTGTGTGGTCTGTGTGCAGTCTCTGTGTGCCATCTCTGTGTGTGGTCTCTGTGTAGTCTGTGTGTGTGGTCTCTGTGTGCGGTCTCTGTGTGCGATCTCTGTGTGCGGTCTCTGTGTGCGGTCTCTGTGTGTGGTCTCTGTGTGCCGTCTCTGTGTGTGGTCTCTGTGTAGTCTCTGTGTGCGGTCTCTGTGTGCGGTCTCTGTGTGTGATCTCTGTGTGCCGTGCCGTCTCTGTTTGCAGTCTCTGTGTGCGGTCTCTGTGTGTGGTCTCTGTGTGCGGTCTCTGTGTGCGGTCTCTGTGTGCCGTCTCTGTGTGCGGTCTCTGTGTGCGGTCTCTGTGTGCGGTCTCTGTGTGCGATCTCTGTGTGCGATCTCTGTGTGCGGTCTCTGTGTGTGGTCTCTGTGTGCCATCTCTGTGTGTGGTCTCTGTGTAGTCTCTGTGTGCGGTCTCTGTGTGCGGTCTCTGTGTGTGATCTCTGTGTGCCGTGCCGTCTCTGTGTGCAGTCTCTGTGTGCAGTCTCTGTGTGTGGTCTCTGTGTGCGGTCTCTGTGTGTGGTCTCTGTGTGCCGTCTCTATGTGCGGTCTCAGTGTGCGGTCTCTGTGTGCGGTCTCTGTGTGTGGTCTCTGTGTGTGGTCTTTGTGTGTGGTCTGTGTGCAGTCTCTGTGTGCCATCTCTGTGTGTGATCTCTGTGTAGTCTGTGTGTGTGGTCTCTGTGTGCGATCTCTGTGTGCGATCTCTGTGTGCGGTCTCTGTGTGCGGTCTCTGTGTGTGGTCTCTGTGTGCGGTCTCTGTGTGTGGTCTCTGTGTGCCATCTCTGTGTGTGATCTCTGTGTGCCGTGCCGTCTCTGTGTGCAGTCTCTGTATGCAGTCTCTGTGTGTGGTCTCTGTGTGCGGTCTCTGTGTGCGGTCTCTGTGTGCCGTCTCTGTGTGCGGTCTCTGTGTGCGGTCTCTGTGTGTGGTCTCTGTGCAGTCTCTGTGTGCAGTCTCTGTGTGCGGTCTCTGTGTGCGGTCTCTGTGTGTGGTCTCTGTGTAGTCTCTCTGTGCGGTCTCTGTGTATGGTCTCTGTGTACGATCTCTTTGTGTGGTCTCTGTGTGCGGTCTCTGTGTGCGATCTCTGTGTGCGGTCTCTGTGTGTGGTCTCTGTGTATGGTCTCTGTGTGCGGTCTCTGTGTGCGGTCTCTGTGTGCGGTCTCTGTGTGTGGTCCTCTGTGTGTGGTCTCTGTGTGCGGCCTCTGTGTGTGGTCTCTGTGCAAGTCTCTGTGTGTGGTCTCTAGTGTAGTCTCGTGTGCCATCTCTGTGTGTGGTCTCTGTGTGTGGTCTCTGTGTGCCGTCTCTGTGTGCGGTCTCCTGGTGTGGTCTCTGTGTGTGGTCTCTGTGTGCGGTCTCTGTGTGTGGTCTCTGTGTGTGGTCTCTGTGTAGTCTCTTTGTGCGGTCTCTGTGTATGGTCTCTGTGTGCGATCTCTGTGTGCGGTCTCTGTGTGCGGTCTCTGTGTGTGGTCTCTGTGTAGTCTCTGTGTGCGGTCTCTGTGTGTGGTCTCTGTGTGCGGCCTCTGTGTGTGGTCTCTGTGCAGTCTCTGTGTGTGGTCTCTATGTGTAGTCTCTGTGTGCAGTCTTTGTGTGTGGTCTCTGTGCGTGGTCTCTGTGTGTGGTCTCTGTGTGCCGTCTCTGTGTGCGGTCTCTGTGTGTGGTCTCTGTGTGTGATCTCTGTGTCTGGTCTCTGTGCAGTCTCTGTGTGCCATCTCTGTGTGTGGTCTCTGTGTAGTCTCTTTGTGCGGTCTCTGTGTATGGTCTCTGTGTGCGATCTCTGTGTATGGTCTCTGTGTGCGATCTCTGTGTGTGGTCTCTGTGTGTGGTCTCTGTGTGTGGTCTCTGTGTGCCGTCTCTGTGTGCGGTCTCTGTGTGCGGTCTCTGTGTATGGTCTCTGTGTGTGGTCTCTGTGTGTGGTCTCTGTGCAGTCTCTGTGTGCGATCTCTGTGTGTGGTCTCTGTGTAGTCTCTGTGTGTGGTCTCTGTGTGCGGTCTCTGTGTGCAGTCTCTGTGTGCGGTCTCTGTGTGCGGTCTCTGTGTGTGGTCTCTGTGTGTGGTCTCTGTGCAGTCTCTGTGTGTGGTCTCTGTGTGTGATCTCTGTGTGCGGTCTCTGTGTGCGGTCTCTGTGTGCGGTCTCTGTGTGCGATCTCTGTGTGCCGTGCCGTCTCTGTGTGCAGTCTCTGTGTGCGGTCTCTGTGTGCGGTCTCTGTGTATGGTCTCTGTGTGCGGTCTCTGTGTGTGGTCTCTGTGTGCAGTCTCTGTGTGCGGTCTCTGTGTGCGGTCTCTGTGTGCCGTCTCTGTGTGCGGTCTCTGTGTATGGTCTCAGTGTGCGGTCTCTGTTTGTGGTCACTGTGTGCGGTCTCTGTGTGCGGTCTCTGTGTGTGGTCTCTGTGTGTGGTCTCTGTGTGTGGTCTCTGTGTGCAGTCTCTGTGTGCCATCTCTGTGTGTGGTCTCTGTGTAGTCTCTGTGTGAGGTCTCTGTGTGTGATCTCTGTGTGCCGTGCCGTCTCTGTGTGCAGTCTCTGTGTGCGGTCTCTGTGTGTGGTCTCTGTGTGCGGTCTCTGTGTGCGGTCACTGTGTGTGGTCTCTGTGTGTGATCTCTGTGTCTGGTCTCTGTGCAGTCTCTGTGAGCCATATCTTTGTGTGGTCTCTGTGTAGTGTCTTTGTGCGGTCTCTGTGTGCGGTCTCTGTTTGTGGTCTCTGTGTGCGGTCTCTGTGTGCCATCTCTGTGTGTGGTCTCTGTGTGCGGTCTCTGTGTGCGGTCTCTGTGTATGGTCTCTGTGAGCGGTCTCTGTGTGTGGTCTCTGTGTGCGGTCTCTGTGTGTGGTCTCTGTGTGTGGTCTCTGTGTGCGGTCTCTGTGTGCGGTCTCTGTGTGTGGTCTCTGTGTGTGGTCTCTGTGTGCGGCCTCTGTGTGTGGTCTCTGTGCAGTCTCTGTGTGTGGTCTCTATGTGTAGTCTCTGTGTGCAGTCTCTGTGTGTGGTCTCTGTGTGTGGTCTCTGTGTGTGGTCTCTGTGTGCCGTCTCTGTGTGCGGTCTCTGTGTGCGGTCTCTGTGTGCGGTCTCTGTGTGTGGTCTCTGTGTGTGATCTCTGTGTCTGGTCTCTGTGCAGTCTCTGTGTGCCATCTCTGTGTGTGGTCTCTGTGTAGTCTCTGTGTGCGGTCTCTGTGTATGGTCTCTGTGTGCGATCTCTGTGTATGGTCTCTGTGTGCGATCTCTGTGTGCGGTCTCTGTGTGCCATCTCTGTGTGTGGTCTCTGTGTAGTCTCTGTGTGCGGTCTCTGTGTAAGGTCTCTGTGTGCGATCTCTGTGTGTGGTCTCTGTGTGTGGTCTCTGTGTGCGGTCTCTGTGTGCGGTCTCTGTGTGTGATCTCTGTGTGCCGTGCCGACTCTTTGTATGGTCTCTGTGTGCGGTCTCTGTGTGTGGTCTCTGTGTGCGGTCTCTGTGTGCCGTCTCTGTGTGCGGTCTCTGTGTGCGGTCTCTGTGTGCAGTCTCTGTGTGTGGTCTCTGTGTGTGGTCTCTGTGCAGTCTCTGTGTAGTCTGTGTGTGGTCTCTGTGTGTGGTCTCTGTGTGCCGTCTCTGTGTGTGGTATCTGTAAGAGATCTCTGTGTGCGGTCTCTGTAAACCAACTATGTGTGCGGTCTCTGTGTGCGGTCTCTGTGTGTGGTCTCTGTGTGTGGTCTCTGTGTGTGGTCTCTGTGCAGTCTCTGTGTAGTCTGTGTGTGGTGTCTGTGTGTGGTCTTTGTGGTCTCTGTGTGTGGTCTCTGTGCAGTCTCTGTGTAGTCTGTGTGTGGTCTCTGTGTGTGGTCTCTGTGTGCAGTCTCTGTGTGCGGTCTCTGTGTGTGGTCTCTGTGTGCGGTCTCTGTGTGTGGTCTCTGTGTGCCGTCTCTGTGTGCGGTCTCTGTGTGCGGTCTCTGTGTGCGATCTCTGTGTGCGGTCTCTGTGCGTGGTGTCTGTGCAGTCTCTGTGTGCGGTCTCTGTGTGCGGTCTCTGTGTGCGGTCTCTGTGTGTGGTCTCTGTGTAGTCTCTGTGTGCGGTCTCTGTGTGTGGTCTCTGTGTGCGATCTCTGTGTGCAGTCTCTGTGTGCGGTCTCTGTGTGCGGTCTCTGTGTGTGGTCTCTGTGTGTGGTCTCTGTGTGCGGCCTCTGTGTGTGGTCTCTGTGCAGTCTCTGTGTGCCATCTCTGTGTGTGGTCTCTGTGTAGTCTCTGTGTGCGGTCTCTGTGTATGGTCTCTGTGTGCGGTCTCTGTGTATGGTCTCTGTGTGCGGTCTCTGTGTGTGGTCTCTGTGTGTTGTCTCTGTGTGACCTCCCCTAAGCCTGGTGGTCTCTCTTGGCTCCTGTGGTGGCTCAGGTCTTTCTGGCTGCAAAGCTGGTGCTCTCTCCTCGCCTTCCCACTGGAGACGCCTTCCCTTCCCTTCTACAACCCCACCTACAACCCCCCCCCCCCCACCTGGGGCCTCCCACCCTGCCAGCTCTCCTCGTCTTCCTCGCCCAGTCCCACGCCAGTCCCACCAGTCTCGGCAGTGCAGGAAGCTCCCTGGGGCTCCAAGCCTGTCCGCCTCACAGCCTGGCACTCCCTGGCCCTTCCTGCTCGGCTCCACCAGGGCCAGGTCAGCCTCAGGATCTCTTGGGTGAGGCGGTTGGCGAGGTTCAGTGCCGTGTTGTTTAGCTACCCCCTCCTCTGTGGCTCTGGCAGGAGCTGGCCCCAGGGAACGGGTGAAGGTTTGGGGGACACCAGTGAGGCCCAGGATACCATTGTGAGGCCCCAGTGATGTCACCTCTGAGGCCCAGTTATAGCAACAGAAAACAGACTAGGACAGGGGCCGTGCCCTACCCTAAAGTAGTTATTTCTCTTTTTAGAATCTATTTTAAGGGAATATCCCAAAGTTTGGAAAAATACATGCACTAGGAATTTTCCTAGCAGAAAAAAATAAATTTGAAACCAAGCTAAAAGGACCAACCATGGGGAACAGCGGAGTGAAGAAGGAAGCTTCCAGCAAGGAAATGCTGTGTATCCCTAAAGTGGTGATGGGGAGGTCCATGAAGCACCAAAGGGGCAGATTTGAGTTTGAATTAAACCAACTTCAGAGAGAGAGACGGGGATGGGTGGGGGGGACGGCCAGGTGAGGACAGGACAGAATGGTGCCTGCTGCCGCGGGGAGAGGCTGCACCTGCATCTTGGCCTGGCATGCCCCAGCGCCAGGAGAGACCAGGCTCTCTTGTCTCCAGCCAGCCCAGCCCATGCTAGCCCCGGCACAACCGTGCTGTCCCCTTCACCGACCCAGACGCTTCCTGCCCCCCAGTGCAGGCTTAGCAAGGGGGCTGGAGTGCCCAGAGGGTTCCAGCCTCGGCTTGCCTTCAGCCCTGCGCACCTGCCTTCCAGAAGGGCACTTCCCCCGGCTCTTGCTCCACTTCCACAAGAGGTGCTGTTGTGTGCTCCCCAGCGCCGGCTGGGCTGGTGGCAGGTGACGGGGGAGTGGCCGTGGTCCCAGGGCCAGTGTTGATCTTAGCAGGAAAAATTAGACCTCAGGCTGCTCGAGGCTGGACAGCCGATTCAGCAGACGGGAGTTGATGCAAGGAAATGGGTTTATCCAAGAAGACAGCAACCCTGGGGAAGTAGACGTCTCAGTCTCCGAGCTGCTTCTCCTGCCCCGCCGGCCAGCAAGAGCACTTTTCAAGGCTGAATGGGGGTTGAGGGAATTTAGGGAAAGCAGTGGGCTCAGTTGGTTGTCGAGCAGATTTCCAAGGTTGGCTTGAACTCGGGGGTTGAGCAGGGGCTCCTTTGACACAAGGTTTCGCTGTTCACAGCAGGAGTTGCAGCTCCTGTTCAGGTCTTGTAATTCCAGTCTCTTGCCTGTGGGCAGTCCCTGGAATTCTTTTTTTTTTTTTTAAAGAATTATTTATTTATGTGAAAGATAGTTACAGAGAGGCAGAGGCAGAGAGGGAGAGAGGTCTTTCATCTGCTGGTTCGCTCCCCAGATGGCCACACTGGGACACAAACTGGTGCCCATAAGGGATGCCAGTGCCGCAGGTGCACACTTAGCCTACTATGCCACAGCACACCCCCCCTTTTATAAAGCCACTAATGCCATCCTGGGCCTCACCTCTTTGGCTTCATTCGATCCTAACACCTGGCCAGAGCCCCATCTTGAAATACCATCAGCATAGCCGGCGCTGCGGCTCACTAGGCTAATCCTCCACCTTGGGGCACCGGCACACTGGGTTCTAGTCCCAGTTGGGGCGCCGGATTCTGTCCTGGTTGCTCCTCTTCCAGGCCAGCTCTCTGCTGTGGTCTAGGAGGGCAGTGGAGGATGCCCAAGTGCTTGGGGCCCTGCACCCCATGGGAGACCAGGAGAAGCACCTGGCTCCTGGCTTTGGATTGGCACAGCACCGGCCGTAGTGGCCATTTGGGGGATGAACCAATGGAAAGAAGACCTTTCTCTCTGTCTCTCTCTCCCACTGTCTAACTCTGCCTGTCAAAAAAAATACCATCAGCATAGACTTTGGGGATTCAGTTTCCAGCGGGAACTCTTGGGAGGTGGGTGAGACGCACACTCAGTCATAGCCACCCTTGTCCAAGGACAAATTGTTCCCCACCCCAATCCATCTGTTGAAGCCCCAGCCCCTCAGTGTGAAGGAGTTGGAGATGGGGTGCTGGGAGGTGATAAGAGTTCAGTGAGGTCCAAAGGGTGGGGCTCTAACCCACGGGGCAATGGACATCCTAACGAGGAGGGGACACAGCCCTGTGCTCTGCCTCTCCTCCTTGCCTTGTGCAGACAGCAAGAAGGTGGTCGTGTGCAAGCCGGGAGGAGCGCCCTCTCTTGGGCCTGAGTGTGCCAGCACCTTCGTCTTGATCCTGAACTTCCAGCCTCCAGAGAACACTGATGTCTGTTTCCTGAGCCCTGAGCTGTACACAGCTGGCCCTTGCCTGCGTGGGAAGCCACCTGCTGTTCTCAACCAGCTGTTGACAGAAACTTCTCTGAGCCTAACTCTTCTAAATTGGCTTTTGTGTCATCTGTAAACCTAAGAGATCTAAATACTCCCTCCTTTAGATAATTTATGAAGATCTACGTCAAATCCTAGCACTGATATCCAGGAGTGCAAAGCCATGAATTTTGTATAGTTAAGCCTATTGATAACACAGTGGTTTCCCCAATTCTGAAACTTCTGAATCTTTTTTTCTTGTATCATCCCCTCCATATGCTAGGAAACAAATATATTAAAAATGGTAAAAACAAAAACCAAAAATAAAATAAAATAAACAAACACCAAACCCCCAAAATAAACAAATCCATAAAGTTATAGTGATTCATACCTAAACCCTATAAATATTTTAACATAGACATTTTCCCTAAGTATATTTATTTGTATCTGAATACACTGGGTGTTATTTTAATACTTGCTGCTTCGAAATGATTTGTACTGTTCTAAAAATAGAGAGGAAAACCTCAATGAGGCATTTTTGTGTCATCTGAGTCAGCAGACACCGTGAGTCAAAGTTTGAAGAAGATTAAAAAGGAGTTACTGAGGAGAGAATTGCCATAGTGGATGACTTGACTTCTAAGATAAACACCGGGACACGGCCCCTCTGGGACAACAGAGCACCAAATTGCTTAGAAAGGATGCTTTGTGATCTTTGATAGAAAAGTCAAAGTCCATCCACAGCAGTAATAATCTGGGGCTGCCATTGTGGTGCAGCAGGTGAAGCACCGGCATCCCACATGGGCTCCAGGTCCTAACCCGGCTGTTCCACTTCCGATCCAGCTCCCTGCCAAAGGCCTGGGAAAACAGCAGGAGAAGGTCCAAGTGTTTGGGCCCCTGCACCCTCGTGGGAGACCCAGATGAAGCTCCTGGCTCCCGCCTGATTGTTGCAGCCATTTAGGGTGAGAACAAGTGGTGGGCAGATCTCTCTCTCTCTCTCTCTCTCTCTCTCTCTCCTTTCTGGGGACATAAAGAGTAAATTACTCTTCTTTGAAGCTGACTGTGGCTTGTGATTCTGTCCTTGTGGACTTGCCCTGTGCTCATCTGAAACACAGGGACATCTGTCATCTCAGGTCTGTCTGCTGTAAACCTGGTTCCATCGTGCCAACGTACAGATCAGGACTTTGAGGGGTACCAGTGAAATCCATTTCTGAATATGCAAAATTGCCCCTTAGAGTTAAAATTGGTTCACAAACTCAGTCGCCTCCCTACCCTACGTCCTAATTAGACATGTGACCTAGAAGTAGCAAAAGTGATGAAGGAGAGGGTTTGGGTTTGTGTCTCCCCAACCTGGGTGATTCCAGGAAGCAGCAGCAAAGGGAATGAGGAGACGGAGGCAGGAGAGAGGAAAAGCCAGGAAGAAGGTACGCGTGGTGTCAGTATAATATCCCAAACCAGTCGGGGTTTCTGCTGTGTGCCTTGAGGCCCAGCCCCCGCCAGGAATTACTCACGTGCTCCCATTCCCATCCACCAGGGGCTTGAACCTCCTGCTCAGCCAGGGAGAAGATCTTGGAGCAAAAAGGGGAAAGCCAACAGGTGGCTGCCCGAGTGGGATGCGCAGGGTGCGAGGTGAGTTTGAGCTCCCTGGACACGGGGCTCAGCCCGGAGGGAGCTCCTCCTCCCTGTTCCGTTTCCTATTTGACGCCATCGTCAAACAGGCAAATGCCAGGGGCAGAGGAGAAGCACAGACGTTGAGAACCCCCGGACGCCAATGCTCCCGCTTCTGGCACCAAGCGCTGACTGCTCCCACTTTCGGCTTTACCAGCAAATCACTGAGAAACGGCACAGGGCCAGCAGCTGCTTTTGGATTTTGATAAGGAAACGATTTAATGAGGACCCCTAGAGAACCGAATGAGCATTCTTTCATTGTCACTGACGGGCGAGTGGCTGTTCTCTCACAGACCCACGGGAAGAACTAGGCCTGGAACTAATGTGTGCAGTGTGCTATTAGCCTACTAAGCTCTTCTGGGAAAACACCTCTGGGTGTAGTAGTGACTTGCAAAATGCAAGCTTTAGACTTTGCCTGGAAAATTCACAGCTCTAAGCATCAAAGACATGGTAAAGTGTGGTGAGAGCATTGGCCACTATTGCTCATGTTGTAGGACAGTGCCAGCATACTCTTGATTTTTTATTTCGTGATTGAGATAAAAATAATTAAAAGCATATGAGTGTGATATTACATAAAATAAAGTTAAGATTTATGTTTTCTTAAAAGCATAAAATACAGGGCCGGCATTGTGATCCAGTGGGTTGCAGCACTTGCAACACTGGCAGTCCATTTCAGAGTGCTGGTTGGAGTCCCCTCTGCTCTGCTTCTGATCCAGCTCCCTGCTAATGTGCCTAGGGAGGCAGCAGCAGATGGCTCAGGTATAAGCGCTTGCCGCTATGTGGGAGACCCGGATGGTGTTCCTGGCTCCTGGCCCCACTCTTGCTGCTGTGGCCATTTAGAGAATGAACCAGCAGATGTAAGATTCTCTCTCTCTCTCTCCCCTCCTCCCTTTCCCCTCCCTCTTCTTTTTTCTCTGTCTCTCCCTCTGTCTCTGTCACTCTGCCTTTCAAATAAATAAATATACAAATAAATCCTTTAAAATGTAAAATACAGAACAAAGTACTAAGGTGAGAGGCCAACTACTGTAGCGTGAACCGCACACACATCTGAACGAATGCTTTATAAAGCAGACTTGTAGCGTCACCACCAGGTGGCAAGGCGGTGAGTGTGGTTATGAGATTCAGTGTTTACTTTGGGAGGGAGAACTGGGAAACTCTGGGACGGTTTCATGTTGCAGTAAGTTCTGCGGGAGAAAGACTTTCAAGAACTGTATGCTTCTAGCAAGAGCAAGCAGTCAGAGATGGGCTTGGGGGTGGCTGTCCCGGAGCCCCAGGGATGGGTTAGAGATGAGATCATGGCAACAGTGACTGCGTTTTCCAGGGAAAACTTAGCAGACTCGCTAACAGAACACAGACTCTTTTTTTCCAAAAGAAAGCTTTTATTTAATGAATACAAATTTTCTAAGTACTACTTTAGGAATAAAATGATTCTTCCCATAATAGCTGCCCTCCCACCCACACTTCCACCCCTCCTGTTCCCTCTCCCCTTCCCAGTCCCATTCTCCATTAAGATCCACTTTCAATTAACTTTATACACAGAAGACCAACTCTATACTAAGAGTTTAGCAATTTGCACACACACACACACACACATCTATTTGAGAACAAGTTTTACAGATAATTATCATAATAGAACTCATTGAGGACAGAGGTCCTGCATGGGGAGCAAGTGCACAGTGACTCCTGGTGTTGATTGAACAATTAATACTATTAAGTATGAGGTCAGTGATCACCCAAGGCTCTTGTCATGAGCTGCCAAGGCTATGGAAGCCTTTTGAATCCACAGACTCCGTCAGAATTTAGACAAGGCCATAAGCAAAGTGCAAGTTGTCTCCTCCCTTCAGAGAAAAGTACATATGTATCTCCTTTGATGGCCCCTTCTTTCCACTGGGATCTCACTCACAGAGATCCTGCCTGTAGCTCATTTTGCCACAGTGTCTTGGCTTTCCATGCCTGAAATGCTTTCCTGGGCTTTTCAGCCAGACCAGGAAGGCTTAAGGGCTGATTCTGAGGTCAGAGTGAAGCACGGACTCTTAACCACGATGAATGAATGAATGAGGAGTAACAATGTGAGGAACGAATTAGCCCAGGGAAGACTGGAGAAACACGTGGAGGTGGTGCAGTGGAGGCACCAGGGGAAAGAGCAAGGGAGAGGAAGAACAATGCCAGGCGCAGAGCATGGCCCTGGGGAAGGCCGGGCAGCGGGGGAGTGGTCAGTGAGGACCAGCTTGCCTGTGAGCAGGGCCAGCCGGAGAGGAGCAGGTGCGAAATACCGGGAAGGACCTGCCCTTCCTGGAGCTGGGTCCTGCATAATTAGGGCGTGCCCCGAGAACCTTCCCAGGGAGTGGCTTTGAATGGCCAGGTGCCCTTCCGAGCCCTTGGCCAGTAAGTTGTCTTCCATTCCACAGCCAGAGAACCGAGTTTTGCCTTCATGTTCTTGGTGGTGAAAGCCAGACCTTGGGCACTTGAGCAGGGTCTGTACGGAAATGAGTCCCTGCTCGGAGTCCCCTTAGTGCTCCTTTAGGGCAGCTAGTGACCCCCCAGGTCGGCTGCCTGTCTCTGACACAGCTCATTGTGACATTCAAGGGCGAGGGATGCACAGGGCACAGGAATCCCAGCAGACTTCCCCTCCCAAGGCCTCCCTGTCTCCACCAGCTGCTGGGGATATAATAACCCACTTCCTGCCAAAGGCCCATCAGGAACAAACTTATCATTCTGCATAGGTCAGGACTCATCAGGACGCCGAGCTCTCTCAGTCTGTTTCCAGGGTGACTCGTGCCTGGCAAGGGTCTCCACTCAGTTCCCAGGGCTCCACCTCCCACCCCTTCCTACCATCCAACACCTTCCTCTGGAATCCAGGCTGCACTCCACGCCCCCTACACCTCCACTCTGCTCTCAGCAAGCGCCCTTCCTGTGTGCCTGACGTCCACACTCTGCTGAGCACACAGTGCCCCTGGCGTTTCTCAGTGGCGGGTGCTTCCTCTGTGGTCCCCACGCAGCACAGGACCAGACAGTGTGGCCGGTGCCCTTTCTGCTTCTCACAGTCTCTATCTCCTACTTCCTTCCCTCGTTCCTCAAAAACCCTGGTTTCTTGAGATGACTTCCGTTATCTATGTGTTGGTCTGGGTTCTCAGAGAAACAGAATCAATAGCAAATTCCTATCTATCTATCTATCTACTCATCTATCGTATCTATCAATCATCTATCTATGTATTATCTATTTCTATACCAATGTATCTATCATCTATGCATCTATCATGGCTATCAGTCATCTATCCTCTATGTATTATCTCCCTATTTACCTTTTAGCTATAATCTATGTATCTCTCACATCTATCATCTACCTGTGTATCATCTGTCTATCATTATGGGTCTATGTATCTGTCGTCTGTGTATGTGTCATACTCATCATCTATGTATCATCTTTCTATGTATTGTCTAATCTGTCATCTACCTGCCTACCCTCTACCATCTACTCATCATCTATCAAGGATTTCCTTTAAGGAGTTGGCTCAGGAGGTTGTGGAGGCTGAGAAGTTCAAGGTCTGCAGTCAGCAAGCTGGGGACCCAGCGGAGCTGATGGTGGAACTCCAGCCTGTGCCGGAAGTCCTGAACACTGGCCTCGCTCCCAAAGCTCATGCCTGTTTCAACTGAATGCAATCATTTGTACAGCTTGAGTATCCCTTATATGGAATGCTTGGGACTGGAAGTGTTTCTAGTCTTGAAATTTTTAGATTTTGGAATACTTGTATATGCATACATTGGGATGCGAGCCAAGTGTAAGCATGAAATTCACTTATTTTGTATATACGTTAGACACATAGCCTGAAGGTAATGTTACACAATATTCAGTATGCCTGCAATTTAAAACATCTAATATTCATTTTATTTGATGGAGAGAAAGAGAGGGACTGGTGAAAGACCTTCCATTTGATGACCTATTGCTAATGTTCAACAACCAAGGTTGGGCCAGGCCAAAGCCAAGTGCCTGGAACTGAAGCTGGGTTTCCATGTGGGTGGCAGGGACTCAGGTCCTGGGGCCATCACCTGCTGCCTCCCACAGTGCACATTACCAGCAAGCTGAATCAGAACCAGAGTGGCTGGGGTTCAAACCAGGCCTTCCCGTCTTCCACTGCTTTCCCAAGCACACCAGCAGGGAGCTGGATCAGAAGTGGAGCAGGAACCAGAGCCCGTATGGGATGCTGGCCTCACTGGAAGTGGTTTAACCCTTTGCGCCACAACTCCTGCACCAACTACAAGCATCTTTATCCCAGAATCCTCTTGTTTCGTATCGATACGTATTCTAGTTCCTCCACTCAGCATCTTCACTTTACATAGGAAACACTGATTTATCAGCCCTCCTTCTTTTCTACTAATTGTTACCCCCTGGTGTCTGCTCTTCTTTTAGTTCTTGTTTTAGAACTCATGGTCCTTAAATATAATCACCCCTTAGCAAACACCCTCAGCTCCTTTTCTCATGGGACTCTGCGCAGCAAAACTCAGCGTTGGCAAAAGTAGAATTTCCAGCTATGTCACACCTGCTTGCAAGTGGCTGAATGTGGCTGGAAACGGTGGTCAGCAGTGCTGTTTCCACCTGGAATTCATGACACAACCTCAAGTAGTTCGCAGCCCTGCCCAGCTGTTCCCTAGTCAGTTCTTGCTCTTACACCTGTAGACACTACTGTCTACTTTGTTTTCTCTCCTGAAAACCCTCATTTCTCTGTAACAAGCACACACACCACTCCATTGGCTTTCTGCAGTTAGAATTTGGGTTCATGCTTACAGGAGTCGGGACAGCTTCTCCCATGTGTCTCTCATTCCGGTTCCAGCTGGTTGCAAGCGGCATCTTCACACAGCAACAGAAAAGACAAAGGACTGGGTCCAACTGGCCAGGCCAGTTGAATTCTCAGTTCATACTCACTCACACTCCACTGGCCAAACCCCACACCCAGGGGCCAGGAAAGTGCACTCCTGCGATGGAGATGGTGGGGGAAGGGACAGACCATTTGCTGAATGACAGTCGCTCCTGACTAATGCCCTTGCTTTATTTCACCCAGCGATCAATAAAGAACGACTTCGTCTTCACCGCCCAATCTGCCTGCTCCGCAGCACCTGTCCCAATGCTCTGCCTCCTCTCTTGTGAAAACGGCACGCTGTGTGTAAGCCCAGCTCTTCCTACTAGGTTTTTCTCCATCTCTGGCCATTCAAGATGGCTTCCTGTATCTTCATTTTTGC